AAAGAGCTGAACAGAAGATTTCAAAGGGCTTGAGAAGACAAAGTAAAGTATTATGATGACACGTGCAAAGACCTGGACATAGAAAACCAAAAAGGAAGAACACGCTCAGTATTTCTCAAGCTGAAAAAACTGAAGAAAAAATTCAAGCCTCAAGTTGCAATAGTGAAGGATTCTACGGGGAAAATATTAAACGACTCAGGAAGCATCAAGATAAGATGGAAGGAATACACAGAGTCACTGTACCAAAAAGAATTGGTCAATGTTCAACCATTTCAGGTGGTAACATATGATCAGGAACTGAGAGTACTGAAGGAAGAGGTCCAAGCTGCACTGAAGGCATTGGCAAAAAACAAGGCTCCAGGAATTGACGGAATATCAACTGAGATGTTTCAACAAATAGATGCAGCACTGGAAGTACTCACTTATCTATGCCAAGAAATTTGGAAGACAGGTACCTGGCCAATCGACTGGAAGAGATCCATATTTATGCCTGTTCCAAAGAAAGGTGATCCAACCGAATGTGGAAAGTATCGAACAATGTCATTAATATCACATGTAAGCAAAATTTTGCTGAAGATCATTCAAAAGCAGCTGCAGCAGTATATCAACAGGGAACTGCCAGAAATTCAAGCTGGGTTTAGACGAGGACGTGGAACTAGGGATATCATTGCTGATGTCAGATGGATCCTAGCTGAAAGCAAAGAATACCAGAAAGATGTTTACCTGTGTTTTATTTTTTTAACTACTAGATGGTGTTTTGTTGCATGACTGGACCATAATTCATTTGAATGGTCCTCTAGTGGACATTTAAGTTGTCACATATTAAGCTAAAGCATGACATTGCTGATGGTTGACGTTTTTGATCCACAAACCCAGCAATTTCATGCAGTTTAGCTTGTATGGTGCCTTGGGGACACCCCCATCTCTTTTTAATCCCTCAAAGAGCTCTGGAAGTGCTCTGAGGACAGTCAGGCTAGGGCTCGTCTCTGAAGGCCTTGGGTGCCAAAGGAGTCAGGAGTGAGTCCCTGTGATGTGCTGGTCAAAGGAGTCTCCCTGGGGTGGCTCAGGCGGGCTGGACTAGACGGTGAGAGGGAAGGCTTGGAGATGGGCTGAGGGAGCAAGGCGTGGGTGTGGGGTCATGTCCTGAGGGTGGGATGCAGTGGTGGGGACATGGAGGCCCCTCTCTGGATCTGCAGCCTGTTGTGGTGGGCCAGGGGGACTCAGGGCCATCCTGACAGACTGCCTCATCCCTGCTCCACCTTCCAGGTGTACAGAGGTTACGTGGATGATCCGAGGAACACAGACAATGCCTGGATAGAGACTGTGGCCATCAGCGTCCACTTTCAGGACCAGAACGATGTGGAGCTAAAGAGGCTGAACTCTGTATGGGGCTGGGGACGTGGCTCTGAGGGGTGGGGGTGGAGGCTAGCTTGCTCTTGAAATGCCTCAGGGCTTCCAGGGAAGGGATCTGATTTGTGGAGGCTGCAGGGGGCCAGAGCTTTGTCCAGAAGGTGCTGGGCCCGTCACTAGAGGAAGGGGACCAGGGAGAGGCCAGAAATCAGCAGGACTTGGTGGCCGGAGCCGAGTCAGGACTGGGGTGACTGCTAGGGTCCTGTGCAGCCCTGCGACCCCAGGGCCTCCTGGGAAGGCCTCCTGGGTCATGTCTGGGGGTGCTGGCAAGGCTTCACTGCTCCTGGCCTATATACACCTTTAAGGAGATGGTC